GGAAACACTTGAGTAAATGAGGGAAACAAAGTATATTGAAAGCAGGTGATTCCACACAGGTGTAGCTCCTTGTTTAATTAAGCAATTAACATCCCATCATGCTTAGGGTTATGTATCATAATGCTGGACAGGCCATTATTTTGGCTACAATGGCTTTGCCCCATTGGGATGATAATGCCCCTATCCACAGGGCACGAGTGGTCACTGAATGGTTTGATGAGCATGAAAACTATGTAAACCATATGCCATGGCCATCTCAGTCACCAGATCTCAACCCAATTGAACAATTATGGGAGATTCTGGAGTGGTGCCTGAGACAGCGTTTTCCACCACCATCAACAAAACACCAACTTATGTAATTTCTCTGGGTAGAATGGTGTCGCATCCCTCCAAAAGAGTTCCAGACACTTGTAGAATATATGCCAAGCTGCATTGAAGCTGTTCTGGCCCAACGCCCTATTAAGAGACTCTATGTTGGTGTTTCCTTTATTTTGGCGGTTACCTGTACATACGACTAGAAAAACACAGCCAGGTTATAAGTATCCAACATCAACCGCCTGCTATGACAGCTTTTAACTTCCCAAATTATGAATGAGGGCTGACAAGCCAGGAAATCCAAAGTGCATTGAATTAACTGAGGGGGCAAATAATACTTCATTAAATACATGGTCTGGATAAACAATAAATCTTTCCTATCAGTGACCGTGTCATATATCCACCCATATTCCCTAACAATCAACCAGCTCGCCGGGAAGCCATTATTCACTTGTTCTTTCTGTCAGCGTACAGAACATACGAAAGTGTTAAAGTATGTTTTTCCCGTGTGCTCCTGACAAGAGCACAAATTACTGTCACCTGTTCCTGTGCCTCAGGTGAAATGTTAAACAACAGAAACTACGGTGGAGTTTCTCTTGAGGAGGACACTTTGAGATACTATGCAAAACTATACCCTCTGGGTAAAACTGGATTGAGTCAAAATAGTTGACTTGCTATTTCATCTTACTTCAGCGACATGACTGTAGTTGGTCGAATTGGCAAAAAAGTATCAAATTGTAGCTAACATTTTTGTCTCATTATGCTATTCTCAAAAGTGAACCGATTCTGATCATCAATAGTGTTATGTTCATATAACTATTTGAGAAGTGTTTGAATGTGTTTATCATGGTTCACAACAGAGTACAAAACAAATCACAGCTAATATATGGGGGTGACATTTTGTTGCAGGTTAGTCATAACTGGGCAGGGCTTTGTCCCTTGTTCCCAATGCACCTTTGTGTAGCTGTGGCTACCATATCAGCTAAATACTGGCCTATCTTATCGAACCAACTGCACCATTTTATGTGGAAGGTGACAAAGATTCAGGCCAGTGTGTGTGTGTGTGTGTGTGTGTGTGTGTGTGTGTGTGTGTGTGTGTGTGTGTGTGTGTGTGTGTGTGTGTGTGTGTGTGTGTGTGTGTGTGGGCGTGCGTGCGTGATCTACGGTCAGCTTCAAAAGCTCCCTCAGTGCGACGTGACACTGGAGAATGGTTTTGCACCCCTACGTGACAACTCCAGAAACACAGAGTAGTGTTGAGCAAGAAGGCTGTGGAGGGCTGTCCTACGGTCAATGGAATGCTGGTCTCTACTGAAATTCAACTTAAAGCTCTCCTCTCCCTAGTTGACTCCTTCTTGTAAAAAGTGAATAACATTTAGTTATAACCCCTCCATGAACAACACAGACAATGACAAAGCGTTCAGTTGACTGATACAGAAATTAAATGATACTTTTTAGAGAACTAAACTGCTATATCACAAAGACAATAACTGAGCACTTTAAGCAATGTTGTTTCTAAGCAAAACATGTATTTATGCTGCACTGATGTATGTGATGTATTCTCAATTCCATCCTTTCTGGAAGTTGTCCAACCATAACATTGATTGGATTTATTGTCCCATTGGACATGTGATCATGTCCCTATGCCAGCTACAGTGCCTTGCACAAGTATTCATCCCCCTTGGCGTTTTTCCTATTTTGTTGCATTACAACCTGTAATTTAAATTGATTTTTATTTGGATTTCATGTAATGGACATACACAAAATAGTTAAAAGTGGTGAAGTGAAATGAAAGAAATAACCTGTTTCATAAAATTCAAAAAAATAAATAACGGAAAAGTGGTGCGTGCATATGTATTCACCCCCTTTGCTATGAAGCCCCTAAATAAGATCTGGTGCAACCAATTAACTTCAGAAGTCACATAATTAGTTAAATAAAGTCCACCTGTATGCAATCTAAGTGTCACATGATCTGTCACATGATCTCAGTATATATACACCTGTTCTGAAAGGCCCCAGAGTCTGCAACACCACTAAGCAAGGGGCACCACCAAGCAAGCGGCACCATGAAGACCAAGGAGCTCTCCAAACAGGTCAGGGACAAAGTTGTGGAGAAGTACAGATCAGGGTTGGGTTATAAAAAAATATCAGAAACTTTGAACATCCCACGGAGCACCATTAAATCCATTATAAAAAAATTGAAAGAATATGGCACCACAACAAACCTGCCAAGAGAGGGCCGCCCGACAAAACTCACGGACCAGGCAAGGAGGGCATTAAAGAGACAACAAAGAGACCAGAGATAAACCTGAAGGAGCTGCAAAGATTGGAGTATCTGTCCATAGGACCACTTTAAGCCGTACACTCCACAGAGCTAGGATTTACGGAAGAGTGGCCAGAAAAATGCCATTGCTTAAAGAAAAAAATAAGCAAACATGTTTTGTGTTCGCCAAAAGGCATGTGGGAGACTCCCCAAACATATGGAAGAAGGTACTCTGGTCAGATGAGACTAAAATTGAGCGTTTTGGCCATCAAGGAAAACGCAATGTCTGGCGCAAACCCAACACCTCTCATCACCCCGAGAACACCATCCCCACAGTGAAGCATGGTGGTGGCAGCATCATGCTGTGGGGATGATTTTTCATCGGCAGGGACTGGGAAACTGGTCAGAATTGAAGGAATGATGGATGGCGCTAAATACAGGGAAATTATTGAGGGAAACCTGTTTCAGTCTTCCAGAGATTTGAGACTGGGACGGAAGTTCACCTTCCAGCAGGACAATGACCCTAAGCATACTGCTAAAGCAACACTTGAGTGGTTTAAGGAGAAACATTTAAATGTCTTGGAATGGCCTAGTCAAAGCCCAGACCTCAATCCAATTGAGAATCTGTGGTATGACTTAAAGATTGCTGTACACCAGCGGAATCCATCCAACTTGAAGGAGCTGTAGCAGTTTTGCCTTGAAGAATTGGCAAAAATCCCAGTGGCTAGATGTGCCAAAATTATAGAGACATACCCCAAGAGACTTGCAGCTGTAATTGTGGCAAAATGTGGCTCTACAAAGTATTGACTTTGGGTGGGTGAATAGTTATGCACGCTCAAGTTTTCAGTTTTTTTGTCTTATTTCTTGTATGTTTCACAGGAAAAAATATTTTGCATCTTCAAAATGGTAGGCATGTTGTGGAAATCAAATGATACAAACCCCCCCAAAATCAATTTAAATTCCAGGTTGTAAGGTAACAAAATAGGAAAAATGCCAAGGGGGGGGGGGGGGGGTAATCTGTGTCAGGGAAACCATTACATGTCACAAAGTATATGTAACAATATAAATTAGGGTTGCCTGAACACTTTAAATTATTTTTATAACTTTAATAGTTATAAAGTTGCAGCGTTTACTCTAATATGCAAACTCATGCGAATTAAAATAATCTAATAAAGTCTAGGTTTATTGTAAATCGGAATAGTCTATTCTGTTAAGTTGGATTGGTGTTATATCTTACAGTACATTTCCTATAGTCAGTATCATTATAAGTAGGCTATCTGTCATTTTAATATGGTGTGATCTGTAATCATTGTAAAATACTTTCCATGTATGCAAATGCATGCAAATGTTGAAGTTTACAGTAATTAAGTTATATCATAGTGTTTCCCATCATCCTGAAGTTGGTTTGGTGTTTCTAGCTTGAATGGTTAAGAAAGCAGTGGCACTTTGAATATCTAGCTCTCATGGTCACCCTTGACTCCCATGTTAATTATGCAAATGTTTAATGGTTGTAATTTCTAAATTATAAATAATATTACAAATCTGAACAGAAGCAACGTAATTTACACTAGACTGGACGTTTTGAAGTTGCAAATCTTAAATATCATTTTAATTAAGTTAATTAATATGAATCCATGAAGTGTTTCTCTCTTCCTGAAGTTGTTTTGGTGTTTCTAGCTTGAATGATTAGTAGCATTTTGAATGTCTACATCTCATTGACTCGCATGTTATTATGTGGGCAAACATAATCCAAAAGACAACCAAAACAAACTGCAAATGCATCCAACAAGTTTGTAGAGTCGCAAGCTTGATGTAGTCATTGCGTGCAATGAATATGGGACCAAATACTAAACGTACACTAAAGTGCTTTCATTTCTAACTTGTAAAACAGATATGTATGAAAATACCCTAAAATAAAAGCTGACATTCTGTACTGTCGCCTAATATGAAACATTTTATCTCAAATCTAAAATGCTGGAATATAGAGCCAAAGTTTGCTTCACTGTCCAAATACATGCGGAGGGGAGTGTATGAGTTAGGATTATTTACAGTAAAAGTAGGATATCCTGAAACAGCATGACAAAGGAAAACTGCAGTTAAGAGCTTTTTTAATGACTAGAATTATACTTTTTGTTAAAATGTGAAGGCACCCAATCGAAACACTGTTGTACGATGATTAATTGGCCAATCACAGTACGGTAGTATCTAGAAGCCTGGCCCAGTTTATGTTGGGGCCAGAGGGCCAGCTTGAATTCCACACTGTTTAGTCAAACCCACCCAAAAGTCACATACAAGAGTCATTTGGTAGGGAGCTCTTTCAACAACCCTATACAATTCAGCTGGACCTGTCCATCCTGCAGCAAGACCTACATCACAGAGCCTCTGTGTTACCACCCAACTGTAAATATAAACAAAATGAACATGACTTATATATGTTTTTTTAATAATTTTAAAGGATTTTGTAAGATAACATATACACCCATTTCATCAAGTCTATAGATAATTTCACATATATATTTATTTCAACGGAACAGGCAACAATCGTGTTTCTCCCCAAAGTTTTGCTTTTTAATGAGAAAAACATGAATCGTTCAAATCACAACATTCAAGCCATAAACAACAACCTGACAATATATACAATATATAAGTCTGAAAAGCAACATAGTTTAAATAGTACTTTTAAAACTAAAATACAAGAAATAAAAACAGTATTTCTGACCTGAAACTCATGGTTTATCTTTGAAAAAGTGTTCCTTCAGTGAATATTCAGTTATTGGTCCTCCATTATCAAAGCATCTTGAAAGGCACTTTGAGGATGAGGGTTGCAACATAAAGCTCAATGTTGCATTGACATTGTTACAGTGATCCAATTCTAGTTTGCCATTTGCAGTAAAAAAGGTCATTACATCGCATTGTTGTAACACACTCTATCAGGGTCACCCCAGCTGTGCAAAATGGTGGGAACTCTCGTGCAAAGTACTGTATGTAAATGGTCCTCTTAGTGCATTTCCATTCAACTCCTATCTTAGTAACTGACATGCCATAGCTCCTCTCCCTCCTAACCCTTGGTATGTTGTGTAATATAATGTGAAGCAATTCCAAAATATCCTCTGACATAAAGAGCTGGGGAACAGCAGGCTATCATTATTGATAATAAAAGGGCCCTATGAAAAAGCATGTTTTAAAACAGACAAACAAAGCTGAAATTAGATTTACCACAGTTTCATCCCTTTTTAAACAGACTTCATATTTTTCTTTGAATGGATACCTGGTAAAAGAATACAAGAAATGTCTCTCTTATCAGTAAAAACAACAGCCTTCCACCTCTTGTAAAAATGAACCATGGCAGCTACATTTGTGTTTATGGATGGGTATTTGAAGAGATTAAAACAGCATATTAAAAATAGGAATGAAGCAACATGTTGTCAAACACAACAAGAATTCCCTGTAATGCAGTAACAACTGCTCGAAGCAGTAACCTGAACCTTTTCTCAATTCAACAATCCCTCAAATTGTTTCATCTCACATTTGTTTTTTGTAACTTGTCAATACAGCACTGTACAAGATATATTAATTTTCTTCCCTTCATAAATAAATGCACATCTCCTTTCCCCCACTCCACCTATTTACAATGTGTACAACCCAAGTAGTCCTGCTTGTCTGTTGAACAAACCAAAACCCAGTTTGAAGTAGTCTAAAAAGAGATAAGCAACAAAATGTCAAAGGGGGGGACATGACTTCTGTGTGAATGTATGAATGGATCAGTTTAAAGACCTGATGAATGGGTGTCTATCCAGCGCTGGGTTTTACCTTTTTCTTCTACTTCATGTAACTGCAGGGTTTCCCTGATCAACTGTGTATTCAGCGCTGCTAAATGTTCTTTGGCCCCTTTGGTCCCTCGTGAGTATCCCTTCAATGGCAGCCATCTTACATTTGGGGATTTCAAGGCTGCTAAAAGTCCTTGTCAGCACCACTTGGCTGTGGTCCAGAGGGCCTCCATGTTAGGAGGCATTGAGGACCGAGCGGCTGTAGAGGGTTTGGTAGTAGGCCCCAGAGTCCATGGCCGAGGGTCCCGCGCTGTCGTAGATCTGCTTGGCTGCTATCGGAGAGGAAGCGTAACCGTTGTAGGCCATCACCTGGTCCTGGTAGGTCTTCAGATCCATCTTCTGCTCGTTGGACATGAGGTTGGTGATGGAGAAGGGGTGGTTGAAGTTGTAGTGGGGATCCATGGCCTTGAGAGGGTCGTGCTGCAGGTCCAGATTATGCATGGCGCTGGGAAGGAGGTGGGGGCTGCCTCCCATGGCCTGGGAGTGGAGGAGAGGGGCGGAGGAGGAGATGGAGGAGGGTACGGAGGAGGGGATTGCCACCGGGGTGCTCTGAATGTGGGACTGGGGCTGTGGGGGGCAGTCCAGCTGGACCATGCTCCTCTGCTGCTGCTCCTCTGAGGAGGAACCAGGGTGGGAGTTGTCAGAGTGGGTCGAGTCGGCCCCCTCCGAGCCCCCCGCTGGGCTGTGCTCCTCCAGCAGGCTGTCTCCATGGCCCCCTTTCCCCGAGCCTCCCTCCTGGGACTTCCCAGACCTCTTCGCAGCCTTCTCTTGATCGATCTTGAAGCGCTTCTGGCGGCGCAGGTAGCAGCCATTCTCAAACATGTTGCCTGAGTTGGGGTGCAGGGCCCAGTAGGAGCCCTTGCCGGGCTTGTCGGGCGAGCGGGCCACCTTGACGAAGCAGTCGTTGAAGGACAGCGAGTGGCGGATGGAGTTCTGCCAGCGCTGCTGGTTCTCGCGGTAGTAGGGGAACAGGTCCATGATCCACTGGTAGATCTCGTTGAGGGTGAGCATCTTGCTGCCGGACTGCTGGATGGCCATGGTGATGAGGGAGATGTAGGAGTAAGGCGGCTTGGCATGGGTCAGCGAGCGGCGGTAGGGCTTGGGCACCTCCTTGGCCCGGTTGAGGGAGGTGGGAGAGGGGTAGCTCAGCTGGCTCATGGGCTGGCCCATGTTCTGGTAGTGGGAGAGGGAGCCCAGGGAAGGGGCTGGGGAGCCCAGTTGGGAGAGAGAGCTGGGGTTGAGGGATGAATTCACCGGGGACAGGTTCATATGGTTGGGCCCTCCACCCATGGAGGCCAGTTGACTGTTGAGCCCAGAGCTGCCATAGCCCATGTTCATGGTGGCTGGAGAACCAGCTGGGTTCAGGTTGATGTAGCTGTTGATGGTGCTCATTGAGCTCATTGAATTCATGGCACTGGGAGAGGAATACATCTGAAAACAAAACAAAAAAGAGTTGATTTAGTCATTTAGAAACAAAAATATATACACTACCGGTCAAAAGTTTTAGAACACCTACTCATTCAAGGGTTTGTCTTTATTTGTACTATTTTCTACATTGTAGAATAATAGTGAAGACATCAAAACTATGAAATAACACATATGGAATCATGTAGTAACCAAAAAAGTGTTAAACAAATCAAATAGCCACCCTTTGCCTTGATGACAGCTTTGCACACTCTCGGCATTCTCTCAACCAGCTTCATGAGGTAGTCATCTGGAATGCATTTCAATTAACAGGTTTACCTTCTTACAAGTTAATTTGTGGAATTTCTTTCCTTCTTAATGTGTTTGAGCCAATCCTTTGGTCTGGAGTCCAAATTTGAGATTTTTGGTTCCAACCGCCATGTCTTTGTGCGATACAGTGTGGGTGAATGGATGATCTCTGCATGTGTATTTCCCACCGTAAAGCATGGAGGAGGAGGTGTTATGGTGTGGGGGTGCTTTGCTGGTGACACTGTCTGTGATTTATTTAGAATTCACGGCACACTTAACCAGCATGGCTACCACAGCATTCTGCAGCGATACGCCATCCCATCTGGTTTGGGCTTAGTGGGACTATCATTTGTTTTTCAACAGGACAATGACCCAACACACCTCCAGGCTGTGTAAGGGCTATTTTACCAAGAAGGAGAGTGATGGAGTGCTGCATCAGATGACCTGGCCTCCACAATCCCCCGACCTCAACCAAATTGAGATGGTTTGGGATGAGTCAGAACGCAGAGTGAAGGAAAAGCAGCCAACAAGTGCTCAGCATATGTGGGAACTCCTTCAAGACTGTTGGAAAAGCATTCTAGGTGAAGCTGGTTGAGAGAATGCCAAGAGTGTGCAAAGCTGTCATCAAGGCGAAGGCTGGCTGTTTAAAGAATCTCAAATATAACATATATTTTGATTTGTTTAACACTTTTTTGGTTACTACATGATTCCACATGTGTTATTTCATAGTTTTGACATCTTCACTATTATTCTACAATGTAGAAAATAGTAAAAATAAAGAAAAACCCTGGAATGAGTAGGTGTGTCCAAACTTTTGACTGGTACTGTAGGTTTAGACAATAAATAATGTAATTGTATTTCTGTGTCCAAAAGCCTGTACTAATGGAAAGCATCAGTGGACCCAGCGTCTGCTAAATGATGTAAATGTAAATGTGAATGACAATGATACCATTGGTGAGAAAGGGACATGGATTTCACATCGCATTGTTAAACCTGAAAATGCGTAACAAGCGCGTCATGGATTCGTTCCCTTTCATTTGGTAGTTCTCCTTCCGCACTACTAAGTGCTACAAAACCACGGAAAATAAAACAAACTTTTAAACGAAATGTTCCAAAATATCTGACCATAGGCTATCCCTGTTATAATATGCTTATAAAAAGGATCACAGAGCCGTAAACGACACAATCATTAAAGTAGCCTAATATTTATTTGAGAGCATATCATGTTGATTAAAATACAGGATTTCAGTTGCCTTTCATTTAATCACGAATTTCTTGTGGAAATGTATAGCTTATTTAAACTTTCGGAGGTAGCCTACGTTAATCAAATTAACTGCTAATTTAATTTCCGAGATGCTTTATCATTCACATAAATGGCATATTTAAATGGATAGTCCATAAGTGTTAGTATAAAGAGACTAGGGAATTCCTCAAAAAAATAAGATAGATTTGATGAAAACAGGCTTCTAAATGTCACATATACAATTTCAACAGGTCACACAATAGACAAATTGAGCCAAATCATATCACATCAGTGTTATTATATGTTGAATTGTAAAATTCTAACATTACTATATTAAAGCTAAGAAATTGCAGCCACAAGTGAAACATTTAGTGAAAAATATCAAAATCAAGCCAATGTGTTAGTAAAATACTGAGCTTTCGATTCAATAACTTCGTTTTAAAAAACTCTAGAATAAACTTTAAAGAAACATATATCCAGCATCCACACACACATTGCCCATACGGTAAACGTATATAGAAAAGTGTTTTTACCTCACTGGCTTCGCTGTAGAAGGCATTCCACTCTGGCAGTTCATGAGACTCCATCTTCACTGAGCTCAACATCCCAAATACAACTTTTTATAGTAAGAAAATATATTTGAGCGAATGAGACTGCAAATCCTTGTTTTAGTTTATAATAGCTTTGAGTCTCTGCTCAAAATTCAGGACGCCAGCAAAAATAGTAAAATTAAAATCCAAGATAACGAAAGAGTTCCACTGACTAGATCGAAGACTGGAATAAAAATAAACAAGAACTAACAAAAATAAAAACAATGCTTCCTCGGGCTATGAGTAGGTCTTCAGTGAAATGTCAATATTTATTCGTTGATTTATCAATCATCCATCGTTTCATAATCAAGAGTAACAGCTAATTTATCTAAAGCAGACGTACTCTTTGGGGAACGCTAGATCCGTATGAAGTCCGCAGAATGCTCCCGTGCAAGCCCTGATCCGTGTGAGTCAATGTTCTATGGGCAAGTACAGTAAAAGTTGGACGTGCCTTCTTAACAACGCAGGTAAGGTTCCCGCCCCATAAGGGCATTTGAATATCGTCCAAGGCAATTTGAATATCGTAAAAAGACCTCTCTTGCCCCCTGGTGAGGGTGTATATTGGCCCGGGACAGACACATCCATCTCAATTGCAGCATGCATCCTCCACTTCTTGTCTACAAACTGCTGCTTAAACGTCACTGGATGCAGACACGCTACTGACTGTAGGCTATTTTCATCATTTATTTTACACCACAATTATAAAATCAAAACTAAATTTATGGCTTTCAATTATTAGAATATGAATTTATAAAGTATTGTTTCAAACTGTGTCGCCTTCTGACTGACTTCAATTCGTAGTTAAACTGATAGTCCCGTGTAGCTCAGTTGGTAGAGCATGGCGTTTGCAACACCAGGGTTGTGGGTTCGATTCCCACGGTGGGCCAGTATGAAAATGTATGCACTCACTAACTGTAAGTCACTCTGGATAAGAGCGTCTGCTAAATGACTAAACATGTTAAAAAATTAAAATCTGTAACTCAATGGAAATACCTTTATTTGTCTCTCATTTTAATACACTTGACCAAAGAAAATATCAGCTCAATAGGTCAAGATCTGAAATGATGGGGTCAGGGAAATAACCTTCTCACGGGTTAAACTCATCGGTCTTGATGTGGTCAGGGATATAACCTTCTCACGGGTTAAACTCATCAGTAGGAGGTCTGATTGGCGAGCCTGAGGTGACTGAACAGTGGGAGAGCTGTTAATTCCGCCGACTAACACTTCTCTGGAGCTCTAACCCCTATATGGAGGATGATTAGTTGCTGGGGAACTTGACTTCTCAGAAGCACTTTGGTCCCCAACTCCCATAGCCTATGCTCTTCCTCGTTATAGGCCTGCACAGTTTAAGTCCAATTGAACACTACATGAACGAAACATTGCATTTTTCGTGTGCAATACAGGCTGTTGTCTGTCACCAGATCTCAAGGGTTACATTAAGGTAAATTAAGTGATGAATATATTGGAAAACCAAAATAATGAAAAACAATAAATAATGTAGACCTAATCCAATGTGTCATGTAGGCCTATCCTTGGCCTGATTCAGAATACACATCTCGTTGTCAAGCGCAGACGGTACAATCTGAATGTCAATGCATTTCCTAATTGCCAATGAATGGAGCTGTAATTGATGCGCATAGGTGGTCGACAGGATTAGCTGAGAAAAGCGCTAAGGAAATACGCAGGAAGGAGACGTCGTGTTCAGCGCAATACGCAGAAATAGCTTACTCCGGGTCACTTTGGTTTTAAAAAAATTTTTTGAATGTATGAAAAACAATTAATCAAAAGTGTAAATACAACCGAATTCGTTTATTTAGTCATCTTTTTGATTTCACATTAATATCATGAGGACTATAGGAAAGCATGATCTCTATTAGGCCTATTGGTCTTAACACTTACAACGATTTGCGCCCGTTTGCAAAAGGTTGTCAGGTCGATTAACACATTCAATGGGATAACACATGGCTGTCTGTAATGATAGTAATTAAGCTTTATAGAACAACGCTTTCCCAACCAAGTATATGCCTACATGGTTCAAGTAGGCTATAAGCAACACATTTGAGCACTGCTTTGAACAATTATATTCAGGCATGGGCCAACATTTGATTGAATTGTTTCCCTAGGCCAAATAAAAAATAGCTAGGCTATATTGTTTTGAATCGAAGGCCAGCTATTTCGATAGATATAGATAATCCGCCCAATGATTCTACAATACGGAGAGCTCTGGAGGAAGATGCTGTGCGGGCTGTAACGCATTTGAGTAATGAGTAGACAGAACTACTTCCTCATTAATCCTTTGACTTTAAATGGTATATTCCCCCAACACACATCCCTACATCCTCCTGCAGGTCGGCCGCTTCTAATGCCAATGTGACAGTAGATCGTTCATTAACACCTCAATAATTAGTTAACAATAGCTTTAATGAGTTGACATTAATAGAGGAAGCCAGAGATTTCAATATGCTTTCTAGTGGGGGGATTCGCCCTCTACAATATCTTGGTAGGCGGCGTTGTTCAATTAGGCTAACCTTTATACAGGTTTTAAGAAGTGTAGGCCTACAGTAAAACACATTGAGAAACAAATGTCTCCATCATCACATAACAGAAACCATTATCTAAGTGAAATTATGGCCGATGTCAAATACGACGCCATCTAATTGATGAACCGGTAACTGTGCCATTTCCCTCCAAAATAGACGACCACCTACAAAAAAAATCAAAACATTGAAAATGAAGTGCCCTCCTGGTATGCTACAAGAAAACAGTGGGCAGTAGTTCACAACACATCTCTAAAGTTAAGATCTGCACAGGTTAAAGTCCGCCATCTACTGGACAGAGCAAGACAATGACCACCGAGCGTTTCATTGCAACACAGCATAAGACCGTGGTAGTATATTTTTTTTATATATATTTAATTTATTTATGCTTCAATTTTTTGTCAATTACGTAGAAGCCTCATGAAAAATAACAAATATAAACTTCCATTTACATCCAATGAACAAAAAAATATATATGAAACGAAACTGAAAGTTGCATGAACAATTAAAAAGGGACATCCAATCCTATAGCTGACATTCAGAGTAGGTTTCTATTCCAGGAAAATGTAAAAAACAACAATTTCACAGAAATAGGCTAGTGTCAAGTAGAAATAGAGTTGGAATACAAGCTTTAACCTTAAACTGTGTTGAAAGAAGCAACTACAAAAACAACTCAACAGGAGTCCATGGTAGACAGGACCATATAGGATCAGAATGATAGAGACCGGCACAAAACAATCCAAAAACAATCCTTCCTAATTTAGGGGCGAAATACAAAAGTCCACAGACTTCTACTTTTATATGGATTTTTTACAAGTACTTTCAGACAGAGGACGCCATTAAAGGCACTTGAGGAAAGTTGCATGAACATATCAGTGCTTTTGTAGGAAATTCCTTTTTGTTGTAAGGGCTACATTTGACTTACCGTATTTTAGATAAGTCCTAGGGGTATTTTTAGTACTACATACACTTTCAGATACAGCTACTAGTGTACCTTATGCATATTTGTACAGTTCATGCCCATGTGATCAGCAATGGCTTGATGTATTGTCCTCATTCAATTTCATATTAACACATGCACATGGTAAGGTATTGATTGGCACCAGCTTTGCAAATTGATAATTAAATTAATATATTAATTTTGGTGACGAACATAAAAGGTTAAGGAAAACCTGACAGAAGTATTTTGATATACATGTATTATCTTTTAAACAATTCAAAGAGATAAGTTCATAGGTAAAACAGAGCATAAAACAGGGATATTATAGAACTTTAAAACATATATATTCATGAGGATCACCTGAAACAAAACTTTAATCTCAGTTAATATAGAAAAAACCTTTGACTTTACATAAAGAGTAAATTCCTTTAAATTAAACATAATAAAGTATACAATATTAGTTTAATCTCTACACCCTCTACAACTTCAGTAACAGATAACCTATAACTATCCTAACAAGGACCATTTCACCCACTATTTCCCTGGCACATTGAAATAATAGCCATTTAACACATAAATAATAAGATTACAGTGCCTATTGAAAGTCTACACCCCCTTGACCTTTATATATATATATATCTTTTTTTTTTTTTAAACATTTTGCTGCATTACAAAGTGGGATTAAAATGTATTTAATTGTCAGACGCCTCACAGGTCCTCAACTGGCAGCTTCATTAAATAGTACCCGCAAAACACCAGTTTCAACATCAACAGTGAAGAGGCGACTCCGGGATGCCGACCTTCTAGGCAGAGTTGCAAAGAAAAAGCCATATCTCAGACTGGCCAATAAAAATAAAATATTAAGATGGGCAAAAGAACACAGACACTGGACAGAGGAAGATCAGAAAAAAGTGTTATGGACAGACAAATCGAAGTTTGTGGTGTTCAGATCACAAAGAAGAACATTTGCGAGACGCAGACCAAATGAAAAGATGCTGGAGGAGTGCTTGATGCCATCTGTCAAGCATGGTGGAGGCAATGTGATGGTCTGGTGGTGCTTTGGTGGTGGTAAAGTGGGAGATTTGTACGGGGTAAAAGGGATCTTGAAGAACGAAGGCTATCACTCCATTTTGCAATGCCATACCCTATGGACAGTGCTTGATTGGAGCCAATTTCCTCCTACAACAGGACAATGACCCAAAGCACAGCTCCAAACCTATGCAAGAACTATTTAGGGAAGAAGCAGTCAGCTGGTATTCTGTCTATAATGGAGTGGCCAGCACAGTCACCAGATCTCAACCCTATTGAGCTGTTGTGGGAGCAGCTTGACCGTAAGAAGTACCCATCAAGCCAATCCAACTTGTGGGAGGTGCTTCAGGAAGCATGGGTTGAAATCTCTTCAGATTACCTCAACAAATTGACAACTAGAATGCCAAAGGTCTGTAAGGCTCTAATTGCTGCAAATGGAGGATTCTTTGACGAAAGCAAAGTTTGAAGGACACAATTATTATTTATATTAAAAATCATTATTTCTAACCTTGTCAATGACTACATTTCCTATGCATTTTGCTATATTTCCTATTCAAACTAATTTCATGTATGTTTTCATGGAAAACAAGGACATTTCTAAGTGACCCCAAACTTTTGAACGGTAGTGTAAGTATTCACCCCCCTGAGTCAATACATGTTAGAAACACCTTTGGCAGCGATTGAGTCTTCTTGGGTAAGTCTCATAAGAGCTTTGCACACCTGTATTGTGGAATATTTGCCCATTATTCTTTTCAAAATTCTTCAAGCTCTGTCAAGGTGTTGGGGATCATGGCTAGATAGCAATTTTCAAGTCTTGCCATAGATTTTCAAGCAGATTTAAGTCAAAACTGCAACTTGGCCACTCAGGAACATTCACTGTCTTCTTGGTAAGCAACTCCAGTGTAGATTTGGCTTTGTGTTGTAGGTTATTGTCCTTCTGAAAGGTGAATTACACACCCAGTGTCTGGAGTACAAGCAGACTGAAGCAGGTTTTCATCAAGGATTTTGCCTGTGCTTTGCTCCATTCCATTTATTTTCTTGAAAACCTCCCCAGTCTTTGCCTTTGTCAAGATTCTGAACAAATTTAGGCTTGCCTAAACAAAGGGGGTGAATACTTATGCAACAACTATATTTTTGTTATTTAATTTGTAAAACATTTTAGAATTTTCTTTTCACTTTGACATTATGGAGTATTTTGTGTAGATCAATGACAAAAAAAAGTACAATTGAATCTATTTCAATCCTACTTTGTAACACAACAAAATGTGAAAAAAGTTCAAGGGGGTATAGACTTCTATAGGCACTATACATCTACTTTAGCATGAATCTATATTTGGTTTATATGCACGTGTATAGGCTACTCAGTGATACACACAAGCTGTATTGTATCAGAACTGTAGATTGCACATCTATTACCATCGAGAGAGATTGTCTTACATTCTACATTCAGTATAAAATAGAGAGGTATCCATCCCATTTCATACATGCTGGATAAAGCATCTTTGTTGGGCACTGTGAAAGCCATGTTATTGTATCGTGTAGCACTGAAAGTCCCTGTTTCTGTCTTATAAAAAGATGGCATGACATACATTAACTGCTGGTTTGAGGTTTCAGCAAAGAGCAAACAATTCGCTCCGTAATAGTCAAAGTCAGTTTTATGTAAAGCGCAAATGTGATGCAAAACAAACAAAAAAAAATGTCACAAGAGGAACAGTACAAGTCTGTACATTGCTGTAACATTTAGTGACGTCATCAGTCTTTCACAATGCCACTCATATCTTTTAGAAAGATGTTCCATGAAACAGAAAACAACAGACCTAAAATCACCTATAACGGGCTAGATGAAGTTCATACTTCCCAACCATGGTCCACTGGTTTATAAATACTAATACTAGTGACCAATACCAATGTAGATAAGTTGATCTTTGAGGGACAAAGGGGTGAATTAGGTATTAGAGGTGAGTTGGGGCTGGGGGTATGGTCACCCCCTAACCAACCAGACAGTGGACCCCATGGAGGTAGAAGTGTATAATGATTGGCTGCGAGGTGGGGAGAACCTGGTGGATTTTCGTGGTGATTAGCTGTGAGGTGGGGAGAACCTGGCGGATTGTCGTGATGGTTGGCTGTGAGGTGGGGAGAACCTGGTGGATTGGCGTGGTGGTTGGCTGTGAGGTGGGGAGAACCTGGCGGATTGTCGTGGTGCTTGGCTGTGAGGTGGGGAGAACCTGGTGGATTGGCGTGGTGCTTGGCTGTGAGGTGGGGAGAACCTGGCGGATTGTCGTGGTGGTTGGCTGTGAGGTGGGGAGAACCTGGTGGATTGGCGTTTACTGTCTGCAAGCACCAGGCTGCAGCTCCACTCAGGCATCAACAGCCTTCTGTCCAGACAGACATCACATAAACAAACAGATTAATAAAAAGGAGGCTGACCATATTCGGTGACAATTTAGGCTACATATCATATATTATACTGTATCATAAAGCATAGGATACATTACACACCTATAAGCACGTCACAAACACTAAATTAGCCTATGGCCTAGCTACATAGAGAATACTTTGGCCTAAAGACTGACTCCAAGGCAACAAACTCAAAGGAAACCAAGATGTAGTGAAATTGCATCTTACAGTCAGGTGTCCCAGAGGATTTAGGGGTCACGCTCCTTCTTCACCTTGACATCTCCAGCCAGGATGGTAGAGATCTCTCCCTGCATGAAGGCCCAGGGCACGTTGGAGCCCACCAGGGGACACCTCTCTCCACTGGGGCAGAACATCTCGCTGCCGGCCCCCTGGCTCCGGATGAAGTCTCTGGTGCAAGGGAAGCAGAACTTATGGGCCGCAACTGACGGGCACTGAACAAAGTGAGTGTCCTCCAAGCGCTCGTGGCAGATGGTGCAGCAGAGAGGGGGACCAGAGGTGCCGGAGGGGTCCCCTGCTCCCTGGTCTGAGGCCCCAGCCAGGGGGAGAGCTGCCATGGTGCCCCCTGCAGAGTTGCTGGCTCCCTGGGGTTCCCCGTTCCTGGAGGCCAGGTGGCGCTGCTGCCCCGCAGGGCAGGCTGCCATGGGGCTGCTGCTCTGTCTCACTGCCAAGGAGGAGTGGTCCAGGCCTCCACCACCACTACTGCTGCTAGGGGCCTCTCTGGGTGACTGGCCAGAGGCTGCACCCGCGTTGTCTGCCACGCTCATCAGGGCTGTGATGGGGGAGGGGTCGCTGCTGTGGGAGTGGGAGGCCGAGCCCTCCTGGTGAGGAGGTGGCTGGCTAGCGCTGGGGAGGGGGGAGGAAGCTAGGTGGATAGCCATGCCCGGGTACATCCCCATGGGCCAGTGCTGCCGGAGCTGCTCCTCTGTGGTCACTACCTCTCCACCCTGGGGCTCCGGGGAAGCCTTCCTCCGGCGCCCGCGGGCTGGCGGTGCTGAGCGGGCCATGTGACACAGCGCTGTGGGTAGCATGGAGCAGCTGGTGTCCAGGTAGGGCTGGGGGAGAACGTCAGGGCTGGGGGTGTCCTTAAAGGCCCGTACCGCATCACTCAGCAGCTCAGAGAGCAGCCGCCAGTCCCCTGCGCCATGTCTTTTCTCATACTCCACATACTTCAGGCCCGAGTTGATCATCTTGTTCCCAGAGTCTTTCTGGCTGTCATGGAACATCTGCTTGACCATTGCCGCCTGGCTGGAGAACATATACCCCGAGCCGCACGGGTACTCCGCAAAGATCTTCAGCTCAAAGTCCAGTGTCAGCTTGGCGTCGAAGGCAAAGATCCGCCCCACCAGGCTGTGGTCCTTCTTGAAGCGCACGTTGAAGGGGGTGCAGCCGGAGAGGGTGAGCAGGGCCCCTCGTACAGCCTTGGGTCTGCCGGCCCAGTCGTCTGCTCGGTTCCGTACGCTCTCCGACAGCTCGGCCAGAGCCTCTGCGTTCCTCTGCTTCTCCCTCAGCTCCTTCTCAAACTCCGGGCTCAGGAAGGAGGCCACACCCATGCCCATGCTCAGCTGCCTCTTGGTGATCTCATTCAGCATGGGGGCAGAGAGGGTGAGGGGGGTTCCCCCGACTCTGGCATTTAAACCAGGCACAGCTGCTAGCAACCCGTGCGGAGCCCCCACAAGGCCTTGTGTCATTAAATTGGGCGGAACGGTACCCACCATGGGTCTTCTGGCGTTGTTAGGGCTCTGTCCACTGACGTCTTGTTGTGGGCACCCGTCATCTATTCTGTTCAGACCGTTGGGGAGCCGTGCTGGGGCTCCGTAGTCCCCTCTTCCCCTTTCAAAGAGTTCAGGAGGTGGCCTGCCACCCTCCATGGGTCCATCTCTCCCACCTGGGCCATGTTTAGTGGGCTGGGGACCCGGGGACCTGTCATCCTGCATAACATGAGTTCTTTTCAACTGCCTGGCCGTCTCTATGAGGAATTCAATACGGTCCGCCCCTTCATAATTCACACAGCCTCGGCAGACAGTCTCGCTAAAGTCCCAGATCATAGCCCATGGCATCTTAGGCAAATCGCAAAGGTAACAACACCACTGCCGCCTTGAAGATGACTGGGAGGAGGAGGACATATTTGATAGGCCCTTTTATATCTTTCTCGCTTTCTGAGGTCCTGATTAAACAGATGTAGCTTTCAATACTTCAGAAACAATCACCGCTTCTGTTACTTCTCAAATACCTAAAACAAATATGATAAACTTTTTGCAATTAACACAAAAAAAGCGTGTTTACCCCCTTTCGGTCGTCTGTGCACATTTAGTGTTTTCTACTAGAAGACTGTCTGCTGGAACTTACACAACGCCGTGATAATGATGCATTCTGGGATTTATTGTTTTCGTTCGCGAGGGCCTTCGTGAGTACGTGCCTCGGATACAGCATTAGTTGCGTCTAAAAAGCGAATATAGACTGCACACAGACCATTGTTTACGAAAAGTTATCATATGGATATTAATGAACACTGTCTGTAAAATAAGATATATGTACAAAGGAACCGATATGCGCATCTCGCGCAGCCCAGATCCTCGTGAACCGAGCTAGCTAGTGTATCCAGGTCAAAGGTGATTTTTTTGTAACAACACATGCTGTTGCACCCATGCGCATTTAGTTAGACTAAGTTAAATTTAGCAATTTAGCAATACTCAGAGGTCATGCCAAAAGATGTATCTTCAAGTGATGAGGCAAGTGACACCGAGGAGGTTCCGCAAAAACGGAGAAAGCAGGGTAAGTTTTTGCTAGCTTAATTAGCTAGCAAACTAGCTAATGTTAGCCACTCCAATCAACCCCATCAAAGCTGGCTGCCAGGTATCTAGTAAATCCTGTTAGGAATCTAAAATGGGGATGCTGCAATTGGCAGACAACATTGTGTAGTCTATGGTGATTTCCAAAACACACACACACAGAGTACGTTCACTTCGCTAGCTAGCGGTCTAGCTAATACAATAACTATGTCTCTCCCTTCAGCTTCAAGGTATCAGTGTCCAGCTGATTATGTGGCATTTGCCCACAAACCCTGTGCCAGTACCCTCATAGAAAGGGTTCGTGATGACAACACAGAATTATGGCTCATCAAAGCTCCCAGCAGTTTCAACCCGGACAGGTAGGCAACCCCTCTTTCCATTTAACGATATTTTAATGATCATAGAAGCGTTATGATTCACTTCTAATAATAGACAGCGAAATATCTAACAAAGTCCTCAGCATTTCTCAGTCTGTTATTAGAAGTGAGTCTATATTTGGTGTGCAGTAACCTTTTAACACACTGTCTGACTGTCCGCTCTCTTGCTACCCCACAGTTTCAGCAGTCTGAAGATGCCTCTGTCTGGGCTGCAGACCATGCAGGCCCCTGCCCAGCAGGCGCGTGGTGGGAATGCCGGGCAGATCTACAGCGTGCTGGGTGGGCCCTCTGGTGCTGCAGACCTCCGCCTCCTCACCAGTCACCCCCAGAGTCTCGACTCGGTGGTCTGTGCCCCGGCCTTCAGCGGCCTCCTCAACATCTGTGAGAGCTACGGCGACTGCAGCACCAACCAGACCCCCATAGCCATCCCAGCCACCCCGGCCCCAACCGTGCCCCCAGGGCTCCGCCAGCGCTTCCAGCCTTTCGGAAGCAGGACCCCCACCCTCTCCAGACTGATGGAGGATACACCCGATACTCTGCTGCCATCTTCACCAGAGACGCCTCTCAGGGTCACGCTGGACCCGGGGGAGGAGAGGAAGAGCAAGAAGAAAAAGAAGAAAGAGAAACTTATAAAGACTGAGGAGGAGGTGGAGGAGGTGATGAGGGTGGTCAGGGTGAAGCAGGAGCTGCTAGACATGACTGTCAGCCCAGAGGAGGCCTATGAACTCCCTGGGCAGGAAGCTGAGCTCTTAGAAGAGAAGAGGAGGAAGAAGAAGAAGAAGAAGGATAAGGACAGAGGAGAGGCGGAGGACACTGTAGGTTCATCTTTTAATGTGATTAAAGAAGAGGTGGAAGTTAAAGTTGAACCAATGGATAGTTTCTATGGTGACGTTGAAGATTCTGGAAAAAAGAAGAGAAAGATTAAGAAAAACAAGCATGATGATGACTAGTCTGTTGTTTTTTATGGTCATCTGGCTTTGTGAAGTTATGCTATGATATAATTGTATCATTCAATTAAGCAGTTCAACAAATAATTATTATGCTACTGAACTGTCGTTTGGATTTTGGGGGGGAAATTTGATAGTCTAATAAAACCTAGACAATAACACATCGGAGTGTTCAGACTTGTGCCTCTTTATTCACACTGAACAAAAATATAAACGCAACATGTAAAGTGTTGGTCCCATGTTTATGAGCTGAAATAAAAGATCCCTGAAATTTTCCATACACACAAAAAGCTGGTTTTTCTCATTTTGTGCACAAATTTGTTTACATCCCTGTTAGTGAGCATTTCTCCTTTGCCAAGATAAGCCATCCACCTGACAGGTGTGGCATATCAAGAAGCTGATTAAACAGCATGATCATTACACAGGTGCACCTTGTGCTGGGGCCAGTAAAAGGCCACTCTAAAATGTGCAGTTTTGTCACACAACACAATGCCACAGATGTCTCAAGATGGCAGACAGCGTGTGTGAGATAGCGGTTTGCTGATGTCAACGTTGTGAACAGTGCCCCATCGTGGTGGTGGAGTTATGGTATGGGCAGGCGTAAGCTACGGACAACGAACACAATTGCCTTTTATCGATGGCAGTTGAATGCACAGAGATACTGTGACGAGATCCTGAGGCCCATTGTGGCATTCATCCGCCGCCATCACCTCATGTTTCAGCATGATAATGCACGGCCCCATGTCACAAGGATCTGTACACAATTCCTGAAAGCTGAAAATGTCCCAGTTCTTCCATGGCCTGCATACTCACCAGACATGTTTGGGATGCTCTGGATCGACGTGTGCGACAGCGTGTTCCAGTTCCTGCCAATATCCAGCAACTTCGCACAGCCATTGAAGAGGAGTGGGACAACATTCCACAGGCCACAAGTAACAGCCTGATCAACTCTATGCTGACTGGTTTTCTGATCCACACCCCCTACCTTTTTGTTTTAAGGTATCTGTGACAAACAGATATTTGTATTCCCAGTCATGTGAAATCCATAGATTAGGGCCTAATTTATTTATTTCAATTGACTGATTTCTTAATATGAACTGTAACTCAGTAAAATCTTTGAAATTGTTGCGTTTATATTTTTGTTCAGCGTAGTTAATTTACCCTCAACGTTAACATTAACTATTTATTCTGCTGCAGTCCTGCAGTACTCTTGCGTCACAGGCAGATGGTGCTATGGTACAGGGGTTCTTCCATGGTTGTGGGACACAGATGCAGTGGGTTGCCTCTCAGCCTGCTCTCACTCTGCACTGGAGTATGGTCCTGTTTTCTAATGAGTTCAGAGACACCTCTAGTGCTATCCAACTCAATGTCTGTACTTTCCTCCCACTACACCACCCCCTGCATGCATACATCACTTACTCACTGCAAGGCTGTGAGAGCGAAGCAATCAAGTTGTCCCCTCTATGTCATTACATG